AAATAGGATTGATTAGTAGAGTTTTTGGGTGATGATGGAAATTTTGATAAGGGAAGTAGTTTGTGGTAGATTGAGAGGGTGGGGGGGTAGGTGAGAGGGAGGGGGAAAAGACTAGGTTTCGTGAGCTGTGTTGTCATAGTAGAGTTATGATCATTTATTTTATTTGTACTGATGGTGTCTGACACGTCTTGAACGTCTTGCAAGTTTGTGCCTTGTCAATGTTTCTCAATTTTCTTAGTGGCCCAGGGTCCTATCGACGGACCTTTCCCGAGCGTCAATTTTTAGCGGAAATTGCTCCAGCAGTAGTACACACGTTTTTTCTGCCCATTCTAGTTATTCGGCAAGATAGGCGTGTCTTGGTTCATGGCACAGTGGGATAATCTAATATACAGGGAGCTAATGTGAGCGGAGGATGGTCACATTTCAACAAAGGGAAGGCAGAATAGGATCGACACAGGTGCACCTGCCTCTCTGGACAGACACATCCAGAGCCACAGGCCTGGACCCCGCGGAGAACCAATCGTACTGGAAGGCGACACTTCGAGACTTTGTGTCGGACCCTAAAGTTCAACACGACGAGGCAAAATACGATGATAGAGCGGCTAGACCTCCAGCTCAGATGTGCACCACGCGCCCTACCCACCCGCTGAACGCATATTTTAGAGGAGTAAGGAATAAGCTGCTACGTCACACTTTTAATGTTAGTCCTCCTGACAGCTGACAAACTGGCCCATCTCTTTAGAACGTTCATCTCATTCTTCTGATCATACGTCAAGGGACTGACATCGTGTGAGTGGAGCGAGATTGCGTCAACTTGTTTATAGATAAACAAATACTATTCTGTCTTTACTTTGTCATTCAGATTTTTATCCACAAAAAGGATTTCAATCCAGATCTCTCATTAAGCGGAGGTGGCGTCCCAACATTCTGGATCATGGCGCTAGTTTTATAAACGAGAAGCATTTTGTGAGGTCCAAACGGAGGAAAAGAGAGCAGATGAAAACTTACGGGGAATAAAATGCTGAATAAAAATACATTCTATGGTTTATCTAGTAAACAGTTGCGATCAGTTTCGATCGCTTTGTCCCCAAATCACCAGGACCGCTCTCCTCTCGAGTGGTGTCACGGGAAGGAGACTGGATGACAATCCATAGGATCCCTGACTCGTTACTTGCGTAACTTACTATCCCACGTGCCCATAGTGCCTTACGGTCCAGTCTAACACGACCTGTTTTGATCATACAAGGAGGTATCTTTCTAGATGCTCTCTCATGGTCTCTGACTTTATTAGTTAGAGCGGCCATGTGGTGGTAGACGAGAGCTGTCAGGGAATTAGTGCTAACGAGTATTCATAGGTGTTGCGGCTATGTTCTACCCCTTTCGGGTACCCCTCCACGAGAGTATTGTCGTGGTCGGCTTCGCAGCTCGGAGACTTTTTCGGCAAATGTGTGGAAGCAGCTCTGGAGCCCGACAGTGGGAGGCGGGAATCTGAGTCATTGGCCTACTTGTGTTTCGTCCTATGTTTGTTCTTTATGCGCAGTAGACGAAAAAAAGTTACTCTCCAAGTGTCTGCATCATAGACGATTCTTGGCCTGCTCTTAATACTGGGAGAATGTTCATCCCATCATCCAGAAGGTGGCCCTGAGCCGACGCACCGCACGTGGGGTCCTTTCGCGACAACTCCCTGATGGCTCCTTGTGGTGGCTTGTTGCTGCTGTTTGTGCGATGAGAAAGCAGGGAATGCAAGCGAAGCACATGTCTGGCATGCGAGCCATGTTCCCCTGACCACCCCTGTCATGTTGTGTTTATTTAGGTTCTAGTTTGACATCCTCTCCATCTGGTCTCGCCAGCTTAGACGTCCTTGATATATTTATTAATGGCACCAGGAGTTTCTACGCACTACTCTCTTGCCGTTCCGATAGGACATAACGGATGAATATTACCTCTAAATTTTTGGCCAAAATAAGCTTCTCGTCTGGCCTAACGGCGAGGAGGTTTCTAGCCGCGTGGCAGCTCCGACATAATGGCCTCCCCGCGCTCGGCGCCTCAGGTCCGCTGCTAGGGGTAATGGTATTGGCCCCTAAGCGGCTCATCGCGTGGTGGCGGTACCTAAAAGGAAAATTGTAAAAAACGCTCATCTGGCCCGCTGCATCCCACATGAGAAAGCTGTCTTTTCAGCCGCGACGGTAGGTTCTCACTGCATTCATTTTGGAACGAAACGTAAAAAATCACAGCATAGTAAACTAGAGTGACCAAAAAAAATCCACACACCCCCCTCATCATTGACTACACATGGGAAACGGACTTTGGGCCAAAAGCCAACTTCTTCTCTATCTCCAGAGTCGCAGCGATGAGGAGGCGCTTGTGTCCCCAGTGGGATCTAGATCGATACGAACAGATATGAGATCAATAAAATCCTAAAATAAAGGTCTCAATCATGCAAAATGTAACTGAATTCAAGAAAACTTTTGTTTCTCACTATTTGTGAAAACAAATGTTTTTCTTGCACAAGGAAATTTTTTTTTGTCTCACAGATTGCCTCCAAACATGACGTTTCGTTTAACAAGTTCAGTTGCTTCATACCCCATGATATGAAAACTACAGCTGATCCCAGGTTATACCGGACTGTGGATACGGCGGGTAAGGTGATGATCTGAATCGCTGACATCTGGGCTCGGCAACCAACCCACAATGGAGGACAGCAAGAGATACGAGAATTCACAATGGTGTCCTCACGATCCCTTCTGGCTTCACCCCCCTCCCCTCGCAAGCACTCCTCATATTCTCCCTCCGGGTCATTGGCGGGACGGAGTGACTTCTCCCCTTTCGGCCTCTGCGCCGTGGCCACACGTCGAGTTTCAACGACGCTCGCTCTCCGCAGTTTCCTCTGTCCCCTCCTCGACTAAACGGATGGGGCATGGGCATCCTATGCGACTGCCACTCTACTCTGTCAAGGCTAGGCTCGCTGGTCGGTCTCACCCTGGCACAGGTTCAAACCGCTGGAGATGGAGGCAGTGGCACATAGTACTGCTGCACTTTGCCCCTCACTCCTGCAGGGGTAGATACACGTGATTGGTGCGCTCTAGACAACACCCACAGTGGTCTCCTCCTACTATCCTGAACAGGCGTGGGGGGCACCAGGTCCCCCCGCTCTCTCTCCATCGCAGGCAAACGATGACGTCTGCTTCCTCATGTATGGCGGCTTTCCTTCACCCTCTCCCCTGTCCTCTCTCCTCAGCCCCTCGAGCCGACACAAGTCAGGCCCGCACACCCACCTCCTCATGGGGGTCCCGGAGCCCTTAACCGTGGTCGTAGCGCCCACGAGCACTGGCCATGTCCATGTTCCGGTGTCGTCCGCACTCCAGACATGGGGCCTGGCCCCCCCACGGTAGCTGGTCCGGGTCAGAATGCTGATGCAACGGAGTCGTTCCCCGGTCCGGCCAGGCCCCCTCGTCATTGTCGACCTAGTTTCGCACAGTTGCAGAGAACGCACAGTTGCCCGGTCCTGGTTCGCGCTAAGGTCCGCGGACGCTCGCACGCGCGCCTTTAAGGCGTGGGACCGCTCTGGGCTCATTCACCCTATGGGCCAGGCGGTCTGTTTGTACGCTTTTGCCCAAAACCGGTGTGCGTCCTCCATGCCGCGGTCCTGCTGCGGAGGTATCGAACAGGAGAGGTAATCGGGGATTCCTGGTGGTCCGGACCTCGCACGCTTGACCGGTGGTCGACGCCCCCCCACCCCCCCCTTCATGAGGGGCATGGCGGTGATGGATGCCCTGGGCCCTTCCCGACGACCGCCGGGGGCTCTAGTCCAGGGGGGCAGGAGCCCTGTTTTCCCCCCACGTCCGATAATACGGACCGCCAAGAGATCTGGGCGGTTTACATCAGGGGTAGGCAATACTGAGTGTGGTCCAGGAGTGAGGTCGGCCGAGAGCCCTCAGGGAGATCCTGGGTCTTCCCCCCTGCTGTCGTTGGAGACACATTCTCAGTGGGACAGCGATGGGGCGGGGTGGTGTCTCGCCTGTTCGCGACATACCATCTCATCAGACCGGAGCTCTCGAGGGCCTAACGCCACGAGTGGAGGCTATTCATGTCTGGATGCGATCCCCCTCGTTCCTTGGGCCGGAGTCTCCTCCACCTGGGAACGCGTGTTGCCCCGCTGGATGGGTCCTCTGGGATTCTACAGACTCTTCGACAAGGGCGGCTGTCGCCTTATACCCTGGCGTGTTCGCAACACGGAGGGGCGACGGCCATCTTGGTACATTTGATGCCTACTCCTTGGTTCGGAGTCCCAACGGGTGGGACACCATCCCACAAATGATGCTCAGTGCCGTTTGTATCTTACGGATTCCGGATGGGAGATTCAAGGAGCGATGAGCAATTGACCGTCTCCTCCTCGGGAAACCTTCTCACTTCCTGCCCAGGTACCTCCCTCCGTCTGGTTAAAACGTTTTCCCCCCCGAGGTTCAGCTGGGGGGCCACGGCGAGGAGGCGTACGCCACCCGCCCAGGCTTTATTTCGCAGAGAATCTGCCGCCGTTGGCCGAGGGTCGCAGCCTCTTTATCCTCACGCAATTCTGATGGTGGGACCCTGTCTTCGAAGGACGTGGTCCTTAGGGAGAGCTGGGGTGGCGTTGTCATCCGGGTCTCGCTAGTTCCTATCGAAGATCCAGGGCGGCGAGGCGAGTCCCATTGTAATCGACTTTAAGGACGCCCCCTTACTTGGCTTGGCTTGTCCTCGATAGCGTAGGGGCGGCGATTTGTGTGGAACGCATCCTCCTTGTCCATCCTCCCGCTGAGATGCGGACCTAGCGTTTGGCGTCGTGCTGTCCTTTGGAGAGGACCACGGCATGGTGAATGTGGCCACAATACGGCGTTATGTCTCGGGCAATACGGCGTCTAAGTGGTTGCGAGGATATGGCACCAGGTTGGTCTGGAACTAACTGGGGAGTTCCATCACGTCGACACCTTTAGGGTTCGAGGGTCATCAGGGATGAGCGGGCTCCTGGGCGCTAACTACTGACGGAGTGAGAGGGAGCGGGTTCATGTCTGCCGCCGCTCATCGTGAGGGTGTACGGGGGAGACCTAGTGCTCTTCTGCCTGTGTCCTAGTCAGAGGATTGGCTGGAGGGAGGGCATTTCCTGGGACAGGACTGACTCGTCATTCTGGTCGGGTGAGCAGCTGTTTGTGTGTCTGGTAGTCCTGCTCAAGAAACAGGGCGCCTGCGCCCCGCAATTCGTATGATCTCGGCCTCAGCGGACTTGGCGCATCTGGGTCGCCACGGCGGTGCGCGGCGTATCAGACGCAGGGTCTGGGGCCCCCCCGTGGGTTTCAGGTCGCATTCCACGCGTAGGATGGCGGCCTACTAACACGGCCCTCATCAAAAAGGGGGGGCGATCGGTCGACGCGTCCGTTTGCCGTGCGGTCCTCTTGGGCGTCGTCCTACGTTGTCGAGGAACATCGAAGGAGATGTCTCTTTATCGTCCGGGTCTCTTATCTTTCGATGAGCTGTCGACGAGTGCTCACCACGGGGCTGTGGTGTCGGCTGGTCAGGGATGAGGCGTGTAAAATACGGCTCCTAGTTGTACGCCCTATCTCCCTCCGTCGCTGAGTGCAAGTGGACGATTAGAAAGCTATGGAACACCCGTTGGCTGTGGGCCGCAGGGGTAGCCCTGGAGAACTCTACCCACTTTGACCTGAGGGGTCGGCTTCTTCGGTCTAATTTTCCCCCAACACGGGTCCCTGGTCACAGACAGGAGCTCTCATCGGGGCAGTCAGGCATCCCTATCAGAGCAGTGCCGGGTAACACGGTTTGTGTGTAGATGTCGGTCTGATCGTCTCGGATATTACCCACTCGCTCACAGACGCCTCTTGAAACTGGTGGAAAAGCAAGGCGTCACTGTGACAGTACCGATGACCTACCTGCAGCGCCAAGGTGCACTATCTGTTACGCCGACGAGGACACAAATACATCAAAGTTGGGTGAGGCTATCCTTCGGTACAGTGCAAATACAGTTGGCCCAGCCCGTAACACAGCTTGTTTCTTCTGCCCCTTGAGTTCCTCCTCCTGCTAGAACTCCAACTTTGTGAAGGGTCTTGCTATCGTCGTGCGTAAGTTGTGACCTTTTTCAAACGCGTTTAGGTTCTCTTTCTCTTTCTTCAATCACCATTTCACCTCTCGCCCTTATCTTCACAATAGGTGTGTGAGGGTTTTTGCTCTAACTGCCTGCTGGAGTACATTTTCCCTCTCCCTAGCGCCTGCATCCGCGTTGTGTCACATGTAACGCTACTAGCATTTGCGAGTTCGAAGATAAATAAGTGTCCGAAATGTGGAACATGTAGTCACCTCATAGGAATGAATCGATGAAAAGACTTGACTTAATTAATAGTTACGTTAATGTATACTTAAGTTCTACGATAGGTCGTAATCCCTTAGCTACGAGTTCCGCGATCTTTTTAATAGCCTTTAGCCCTTTCCAACTTGCTTCTAGGACAGAGTTCAAGAGGGGTAACCCACCTCCTTACGTGCAGCGGGCATTTTATAGAGGATAGGTCGGCTGGTGATTGAGCAATTATTTTGAATCTCTCTGGCTCGTGACCCTGGGGTCACGAGTGATATCCCCCTCTAGCGAAGTCCCTAGAGGGACTACGCACCTGATACGTAGAACTTAAGTTTTTATTAAGTAACTATTAATTACTGGATGAAAGTTATTCGTGAATATGCCACTTTTCGTCCGTAAAAACTCATCACCCACACCCACACCTGACTCCTACCCCCACCTGCAAAAAGAGGGGATCATGAGGGATCGCATGCTCAGGCGTAATAGGATTTTACTACACATCTGTCGACTATCTGAACGCTGCAGTTGCTTTGACCTGTGCCGATTCCGAATGAGGCCCCATTGTTTTCTGTGCGCGTCTTGTATGTTCTACACACTCCATAAATCTCTTCGATATTGTGGCGGAAAATTTCACACACGCTCCTGTATTTAAATCTCGAGATGTGTATTATGGTGACGCTGTTATATATGAGTTGTTTAAACAGTTACAAAAAGTAGACTATTCGCATGTGCCAAATATGTTTTTGTCTTGCTAAAGATCTGCAAAGCTCGTTCCTTTGAGTTCTCGTCGAGCTACCTGGAAGGGGGTCTGTATTCGGAAATATCTAATAGTTCTGGCCTAAAGCAACACACATACGATCCGATACATGGCGTTGTAGGCAATACAGCGTCTGGTAATTCACTGTACTCTACTGTATTACCAGTCATTCCAGTTTGTTTACCGTCTGGCTTGTAGTCAGTATTTCCAAGCGCTAAGCCTAATTATTATTAGACTAATTATTGTTGAATAGTGTGTACTACTATAAGATATTTTCACAATTCTATACACGTTTCACACCATCTAACAATTTGAGTTTGAAAATGAATTATATACTGCAGTTTAGTTTACTACCATTGCACTCAGAAGAATACTACCGACAGAATCGTCATTACGTGGTTTAATCCTCCGGCTCGGTCGAGTCGGTGTGAAGACAAACATGACTCACACAACACCAGGGTAGTGAGGGTATTTGGAGTAGGAACATTCAGGTCCTATACTGGAAGTACCCCCACTCCTACATAGTACTTCAAGCTACCTCATCAAATAATTCAATGTTTCAACTCAAAGAGTTGCTGTAAGCAATATAAAGTGTGAAATACATCTAGAAATTACACCCAAACAACAAAGTCGATTCAGGATTCTAATTATAATTAGCTAGTGCTGGAAATAGCAACTACAACCAGACGTAAACGAACTTGCATTACTAGTATAACAGTAGAATACATAGGAATACAGAATTTTTGTGACATACGCAGATGAAAGGTAGATTTCTTTTGCAATATTGTGCCATGGCCAAACATATCGCAGAGGAGACTCTACGAGCGAGCCCAGCATCAACAAAGCAGCTTATGACACGAGAGTCGTATAACAATCATAAACAGCGCACTACACCACTCGATATTCTAATATACTATGTACGTGTGTTGAATCGGGGATCTACGCATCAATATGGAGTATATTTATGAGTGAAACAATCAAATAACGCAGGCACAAAAACAAGTTGGCTCGATTCACGAACTTTTCTCTCTGAACATAAGTTACGAAAAATCCTACTTACTCTGTTTTTGACAGAAGAAAGTGGCCCATCACTAATAATGTCTCGTTGATAGTTAATAGTGTTTACTTAAACCAACTTAAGTTCTACGAATAGGTGCGTAGTCCCTTAGGACTTCGCTAGTGGGATATCACTCGTGACCCCCAGGTCACGCGCCAGAGAGATCAAAATAATTTGCTCCAATCACCAGCCACCTTCCTCTATAAATGCCCCTGCACAAGGTCGTACCCCCTCTTGAACT